ATAGAAACGAGCTTGACCACCCCCTGATCTGCCTCCCCCTCTAGGGCGACCCCTAGCTGACTGACCTCCACCCCGAGCTGACTGGGCGGGTGGTGAATTAACTGGTGCTGAAGTCGAAGGCTGACTCCTCTGCCGAGATAGACCTCTATGATGATGAGGACAATGCCTCCACATATGCTCAAATTCCACACACTCAAAACAACTCCCTGGTGCTGGTGGAGGGAACTGAAGGGAACCCCTAGCACCGGGATAACCAGTAGAAGAACCTGGCATAGAGGAGCCCTGAACTGGTGGAGTATGGGATGAACTCTGAGCTGGAAGGGCACTAAATGATGAGTGTCCCTAATAAGAACTGTGAGAACCATGGCCAGATAATGCACCACGGTTAAATGGCCGAGCTGACTGAGCCTGTCTGAAATGATGTCCTCTACCGTGCTGAAACTGACCCCCAAAAGGAGCACCCCTGAATCCACCTTGACCACGAGGCCTCTTGGCCTCCCTCTCAATCCTCTCCTGACCGTGAACCATCTTAATCTGCCAAGCAATGTCGACAACCTCATCAAAAGTAGCACCCGAAACCCTCTCTCTGGTCATGAGCAACTGTAGCTGATAAGTGAGACCATCAATAAACCTCATGATCCTCTCCCTGTATGTGGGAACCAACCAGATAGCATGACATGCCAACTCCGAGAATCGTATCTCATACTGCATCACAGATATATCACTCTAGCGAAGCCGCTCAAACTGTCTGTGCAGCTCCTCCCTGTGGGACGGAGGTACGAACTTCTCCAAAAAGACCACGGAGAATTGTTGCTAAGTAAGGGGTGCTGCGCCAACAGGCCTACGCCTCTCGTAAGTCTCCCACCATCTAAGTGCAGCCCCAAAAAACTGAAAAGTAGTGAATGAGACACCACAAGTCTCCAGAATACCAGTAGTACGGAGTATCCTCTGACACCTGTCCAGAAAGTCCTGAGCATCCTCTCTCTCTGTGCCACTGAGAGGTGGTGGATGGAGTCTCCCAAACCTCTCCAACCTACGTTGATCATCCTTAGGCATAGCAGAAACCACATAATCCTGAGCAACTGCAACCGCTGGTCTGGTGGTGCCTCCGGTGTCTGAAGTCCCTGAACAACCTGCTCGAGTGTGCGAGCGACGGGAGTCTGAGTGCCTCCCCCGGCCTGAGAAGTGGCTGCGGCCGTTGAGATAGATACTTCCTGAGCAAGGCCGGTACACGCTGTCAGAATCTGAGCTAGGGCCTCCTGAAGGCCTGGAATCACAATGGGCACAGGTGGTGCCTAAGCTAGTGCATCAACAACTGGAATCTGGTCCTGATCTGAGACAACTGGTGGATCTGTAGGTACTGCCCCATCTGTGGTACGGGCTGCACCTCTGCCCCTACCACGGCCTCTACCGTGGCCTCGGCCTCTCGCGACCCTGGCTGGTGGTACTAGTGGCAGGCCCTCCTGACCGGTAGTACGAGTCCTCACCATCTGTGAGAGAATGAAACAACAAATGTTTAGTTACTAGAATCAACAGATTCGCATGACAAGAATTCAAGAATGTGGAATCTTCCTAAAGGTTCTGCAGCCTCTCGAAGATAAGTACAGACGTCTCTGTACCGACCCGCAAGACTGTACTAAACCCGCTCATGACTCGTGAGACCTATGCAACCACCACTCTGATACCAATCTGTCACGACCCAAACTAACCCCTGTCGTGATGGCGCCTATCGTGGTACTAGGCAAGCCAACTCATTCTAAAAACAAACTGATATTTTTCATTTCAAGGATATTTCCAAGGCTATTTAGCTTAAAAACCTTTGTAAAGGAGTTCAAATCAAACAAAAGTGCGGAAAAGAAAAGCTCGACATCGGGATGTCACTAGTCATAAGCATCTACTATAATCTGTCTAACAATATCAAGGCTAACTCAGCATGGAAAATAGATAATTACAACTAGAGGAAGATAAGAGGGAGAAGAGCAGGGGCTGCGATCGCCAAACAACTACTTTGCTATCTCCGAGAAAATTTGCAATCAGAATAATCAACAACCGCTACCGTCTCCAGCTACACCTGGATCTGCACACAAGGTGCAGGGAGTAACGTGAGTACGCCAACTCAGTAAGTAATAAAAATAAATAAAGACCGAGCAGTAGTGACGAACAATAAAGCATATAACGTTCATATCATGAAATCTCAGTAAAATACTTCATGCTTTTAAAATCATGATTTGAATCGAAATATCTCGTTTAAACCCAGTTCCAGTAAAAATCATTTAAGGATATTTTTCAACAGTTTTCAAACAGAGAAAAAATGCAAAGGTGAGCAAAAATGATGAAATCATAAACAGCCCCTCGGGCAAAGCATCACTCATATACAGCCCCTCGGGCAAACCTCACAAACACTCTTGCCACTCGGGCATACCTCACAATCACTCTTGCCACTCGGGCATATCTCACAATCACTCATGCCTCCCTGTTACTCAGCACTCGGCACTCGCACTTAGTAGGTACCTGCGCTCACTAGGGGTGTGTACAAACTCCGAAGGGGCTCCTTCAGCCCAAGCGCTATATCAAGCCAAAGCATGGCATAAATCACTCAGGCCCTTAGCCTATATCGAACATGCTGCGGTGTGCAACCCGATCCCATAAATATCCTTACAAATTAGACCCTCGGCCTCACTCAGTCATAAACCTTTCAAGCCACTCGGGCATTTCAGTAAAAATAGGGCATTCAACCCAAAACAACATTTATATGCATCGAAATAGAGTAATAACACTGAGCTATGCAGTAAATAAGTATAATCATGATTGAGTATAGATTTTCAATCGAAAACAGTGAGAGGATAGTAAGAAAAGGCCCCTAAGGGTCCAAACAGCACTGGCACAAGGCCCAAACATGGCATTCAACCCAAATTTACAGAAACGCTTTCTAAAACATATAAGTATCATATAGTTTCAATAAAATATGCAACTTTACAGTTGCTACGGGATGAACCAAGTCATAATCCCCTTCAGTGCACGCCCACACGCCTGTCACCTAGCATGTGCGTCGCCTCAAAATAGTAGAATGATACGAAATCCGGGGTTTCATACTCTCAGGACTAGATTTACAATCGTTACTTACCTCAAACCGATCAAATCCCTACTCTGCGATGCTCTTGCCTCTCGACTCGGCCTCCAACTGCTCCGAATCTATTCACAATCAGTACAATACCATCAATACACGCTAATGGAATGAATTCTACAAGAAAAACTACAAAATTAGATCAAAACCTGAAAATTGGCTCAAACCCGGCCCCCGGGCCCACGTCTTGAAATCCGACAGAATTTATAAAACTAGAAAGCCCATTCACTCACGAGTCTAACCATATCAAATTCATCAAAATCCGACATCGTTTGGTCCTTCAAATCCTTAAATTACTTCTCCAAAAATCTCAAGCCCTAACCCTTAATTTTCACTAATGACATGATTAAACAACGAAAAATCACCATATATACGAGTATTACGGCTCAAGCAACTTACCTCAATGAAAACCCCCTTGATTCCCTCTTCAAATCTCTCCCAAAAGTTCCAAAACCGAATAGAAATGGTGAAGAATGTACCAAAATTCGCGAAGTGTGCAATATGTACCTTCAGCCCAGGCTTCTCGCACCCGCGCGACCGCACCTGTGGTGCCAACAACCGCACCTGCGCAAGTCACTTAAACACCCAAACTCCGCACATGCGCCTTATTCCTCGCACCTGCGGGCTCGCAGGTGCGGCCAAGCTTGCGCACCTGCGCTCGATCCCCAGCTTCCAAAATTCCGCATCTGCGACCACCTTCCGCGCCTGCGACCCTCGCACCTGCGACTCCCCCTTCTCCAGGTGCGGAAATATCAGTAGAAGCAGCTTCAGCTGCATTTTCCAACTTTGACAAATCCGTTAACCACCCGGAATCACCCTGAGGTCCTCGGGACTTCAACCAAAAATACCCACAAGTCATTTATCAACATACAAACTTAGTCAAACCTTCAAATTACTCAAAACAACATCAAATCACCAAATTACCCTCGGATTCAAGCCTAAGAACTTCTAAACTTCCAAACTCGACAACCGATGCCGAAACCAACCAAACCACGTCCGAATAACCTCAAATTTTGCACACACATCACAAATAACACTACGAACCTACTTCAACTTCCGAAATTCTATTCCGACCCCAATATCAAAATTTTCACTGCCGACCAAAAATCGCCAAATTTTCAATTTCGCCAATTCAAGCCTAATTCTACCACGGACCTCCAAATCACATTCTGTACGCACTCCTAAGCCAAAATCACCTAACGGAGCTAACGGAACCATCAAAATTCAAATCCGAGATCGTTACATATAGGTCAATATTCAATTGACTTTTTCCAACTTAAGTTTCTACTTTAGAGACTAAGTGTCTCATTTCACTCCGAAACCACTCCAGACTCGAACCAACTAACCCGGTATATTATAATATAGCTTAAGAGCATAAAGAAAATAGAAATGATGAAAATAGGGCTATAACTCTCCGAACGATCGGCCGGATCGTTACATTGGATTACTGAAATACTCTAAACATGGATTTAGAGTGAGGTATTTAGCAAAAAAAAAATAAGCCAGTATCATTTGACAGTTAGATCTCGCCAAACCTGTCATTCACAACACAAAGACTTTCTTATGATTGATCTGTTGAAAATGTAAATGAAAAAGAAACACATTAAAAAGTTCAACTCCAAAAGCATTTTCTATTTGGTTCTTTCAAGAGCCATATAAGACAATAGTTCTATCCTCAAGGCTAAAACAATATCTTGGTGTGCATTATGCATGAAGATCACGAGATATTGTATTTCAAATATTAAAACTTATAAGATTTGGTTCACACTCTAAGGGTCATTCATTTGATAAAATGAAGTTATTGTGATGTATTAATATGAAGATTAAGAATTTTTCTTTTGATTTGACAAATCACCAACTGCGTGTAACTCTTAAATTAACCAAAAATATTTATCTCCCTTGAGGTGTAGAATCTATCAGTACCTTAAGGTTTGATGCTTGTGATCCTGAAAAATATCTCAGTACAAAGCAACATGTGCTGAGACATGAATATCAGACCAAAATGACAAATTAGGGACCAAACTTAAATGAATCAATGTTGGTAGTTTCAACAGTTTTGACAACGTTCTAGAATTCAACTAAAGCTGAGAGATATGAACCAAAAGAACATGAAATAAAGGAACATATCAAGATGGTTTACTGCCTTGACTTCATAAAGTATTTGAAGCGCAATAATCCGGTAAGCTTCTTCTGAGTGACTCGACAATAAGACATTGCTTCACTTGAGCCTTTTCACAAATGCTGTCTTCTAAACTACCCAAAAATATTTTAACAACAAACAAAGCCAACTCTTAGTAGTTACAATAACTAACCTCAATTACATGGAGAATCATTAATAGTCACAAGACTATTTGTCTCATAATAGCGATACACGATATAGTTCTAAATGGTATACAGACACAAATATTAAAAAGGAAATAAGAAGTATTATTTTCTTTAAAGGTGTGCATCACTAATAAGAAGACATATTGCACTGCTTTTCTACAGTCTATTTAATTTTAAAAGAATTGTTAGCACTTGAAAAATAATAGGTGAAAGTTACAAAGGATTATCAGATAGATTTTTTTTCTATAATTATTTGCGTAAAAATAACTTCCCAATAGCTCAAAATAATAAAAAGTAAATGAGCCATTCATACTGGTTGTAAAAACTCGATACATGCCTTGTAAATCAACTTCAAGGAAACGATAGGTATGTGTGAAATTCTCACTCTATATGTATATTTTTTCCTGAAAAGCAAGAAGAGATTCAATTTAGTGCTCTTGGCTAAAATTAATAATAATACCAATTTACAATAATATGCCACAAATTTATAGCATACAGGGCAAGAAGAAAGGTGAAAAACTTTGCCACCTATATCATAAATTTATCATATTAGAAGATATCATCAACCCAAAAACTATAATTCATGATTCACCCAGCCCTCAGAAATTTGCAATCTCTGTCAAATTGTCTGCTGAAAAGTTAAACTAATTAAGTAATGCAAAAAGTTTTCAATGAAAACTTCCTCAGTTGTATTTCTTATAGAAAACATCAATCGCATAGAGGTAAAATTCAAACTTACATGTAACTGCAAATACTTCATTATCATTTGACTATGAATGCATGCAATCAGAGTTCTCAACCGAGGTTTAGAGTAAGTTCCATCTGACTTCTCAACTAAGACTTAGAGTAAGCATCATCAGGAACTCTATAAGATTAGAAGTAAAACTTCCTGAGGTTGGTGCATCATGTTGAGCATGAAGATGTATTGTGAACCCAAATTCTTTCTTATTGTGTAAAAAAAAAAGAGATTAAGCAATATTGACTCCTCTCTCAACCTAGATGATCACTCTTTGGTAAAAAAATACCGAAGTTGAAGTAACACCAATTAAAATGCACTCACTCAAAAAGAACTAATGTGACAATAAGAAGCAGAATATTTTAAAAATATGATCATTTATAATTATAAAATTTTCAATCAATCGATAACTATAATAAAGCTTCTACGAAAGATAGTAACAGAGAAGAGTAAATGGAAGAATTGACGGTAGATGAAAATAGAAAGTTACCTTTTTAATAATTGAAAACGAAAAAGTGAACCATAAGATTGATATAACAAAATTTGAAGGGACATTTTCGAAATTCAAAAAGAAGTCAAAAGCAAATGAAATTACTACTATAATCTATCGTAATTTATCTCGGTCTCCCAACTATATTTTACGCATAGAAAACCTTTCGAAGATCTACCGCTTTCACTATTACAGACATTAGCCACGAATTCCAGGAATGAAATTCAGAAGTCTAAAGAGAAATTGAAAGAAATTGGGGCAAAATACCTGGAATTAGAACAACCCAGCTGAGAAGATATAAAGAATTGAAAAAATAAGTCTTTGAAAATATGAAGAAACATAAAGAGATTATGCAAAAGTAACATTTTAAGGATGAAAGAGAGAAACAAAAGGAAGGAGACGAACATATGAACAAGAACACAGTAGAAAAACAACTATGAATTTCAGCCATGAAATTAAGAAATTTAAAAAGAATTGGAAGGAAGATTAAAGCAAAAATTGAGAGAAAAGCTTACCCGAAATTGAAAGAGCCCGTTGAGGTGATGAAGAGAATTAAAGATTAGTCCTTAAAAGTGTCGAGAGCATAAAATCCTAAAAGCAAATGAAAGAATTGAGGGTTTCTTGTTGTGTCTATCATTAGAGAAATGGCGAAACAGATTAGTAGTATTTATTTAGGGAACCAAATGACATATTTTCCCATAATCAACCAAGAGAAATAGAAATAAAATAAATAAATAAAATGGTAAGGTAAAATAATAATTTTTCCCTTGGTCGACCAACTTCTATTTTCTATATAAAAGAAAATTCTATTACGTTAAATAAAAAATTCTACTAATTGAATAAGCAATATTGGATCAAATTGATATTGCACAATATAGGACATACCTCATGAAATATTTAAGTGTTGAAATACGTTATTTATACAAGCCTTGTTAATCGTAAGAAAATTTAAATGTTTATACATATGCATTAGACATGCTTGAAAGCTCACCCATTGCTGTCAATCAGTGGCGAAGCCACAAAGTCATTCTCCTCTCTACACGTATAGAAATTTCTATGGCAAGTAACGAAGAAAAAGGAACTAGGGTGACAGGCAACGTCCTCAGTAACCTCATGAATGCTATCACAATGAAACAATGGGCGATAATGTGACACCCACTGCCTCTCCCACGCACGAGAGGTCACCTTCTCCTCATTGCAGCACAACGAAACCAAATGGGAAATGGGCTTCCACGTCTACAAGAGAAGAGACACCACTTGCTATGAAAAAGCTCCTCGAAGCATGGCTAACTGATACCCTAGTAAGTGTGCTCAACAAACAAGATCCATACACGACTATAGAAATCACGAGAGCCCATACGGTATATAGAGGAGACGAACAAGGCGATCAACCAGACCCTCCAACTTCAGGTATAACTCACAATGTTACTGACAATGAAGGTAACGACGTCCTCACCAGTGTTTTGAAAAGAATGGAAGAAATGGAGAATGAGAACAAAATGCTCAGAGACCAAATGATAGAACACCAGGAATGAATCGACAAGATACCCTGAGCCCCTAAGCGACTACCGAAAAGGGATGCCAACAGGTTCGAAAATAGCCATATAGCGAGGGAGAAACCCCACGTGTCATACCAAAGCCCGCTTCAAAATGCCACCGTATCTCAGAATATACGATGGGACAACCGACCCCGAAGACCACGTGACTCATTACGTCACCGTCATGAAGGGTAGCGACCTCACCAAGGAACAAGTGTCCTCCATTTTGCTGAAGAATTTCGACAGAACCCTCACTGGAGGGGCATTAATATGGTATTCACAGCTACCTGCTCGCTCCATAGAAACGTTCGAAGAAATAGCCGACAAGTTCGT